TTTTCTTCCCCAAAATCAAATTGATTCTTTTTTCCGATTTCAATGGTTATACATGATAGTTGTAGGAAATGTGGAAAATACAAAAAAGTAGGAAAGAAAGAAATCTACTCAAATAGTGCCATGCCTTGAGGATTAACCACTGTTATTAATATCATTTGAAGCATTTTTTCCTAGTTTTTGTAAAAACACAGTTGTACTGTAAAGCTAGTCATATTACATACATCATTTTGTCTCTTGCCCCAATTATTTCACATAGTTCTCCTCCTGATCTTTTTTGACTTTATCCTACATGGCCTCAGACATACCAGATGCTCCACCTCAGGGCGTTTGCACACACTCTTCCCATGATCTGGAAGGTTCTTCCTCCAGGTAACAGCATGTCTTATGCCCTCCCGTTTTTCAAGTCATTGCTAAAAATGTCACCTGATCTCAGTGGAGCCCCTTCTGACCTCCCCATTCAGTTTACACCTACACTAGCTAGAACTCCCTCATCCCAGACCCATCCTTTCCCATGGCACCCAACATGCCTCCTATCTGTTTATTATCAGTATTACTGTTCTAGCTGGGCTTGGTGGCTCACACCTGTAATCCCAGAACTTTGGGAGGCTTAGGTGAGGAGATTGCTTAAGCCTGAGAGTTTGAGACTAGCCTGGGCAACATAGCAAGACCTTTCTCTACGGAAAAATAAATAAATTAGCTGGGCATGGTGGTGTGCACCTGTAGTCCCAACTACTCAAGAGGCTGAGGTGGGAGGATTGCTTGAGCCCAGGAGTTCAGGATTATAGTGAGCTATGATGACACCACTTACACTCCAGCCTGGGTGACAGCTGGAGATGCTGTCTCAAAAGAAAACCCCAAAATTATTCTATCTAATAGGCTAATATAAGCATTAAGCAACAGTGCACTTTGTAAACATTTTAAAATAGCTGCATATAGCCTATTCTTTGAGTAAACCATACATTAATCATTGCCCTGCCCCTGCGCATTTAGACTGCATCTATTATTTTGCTATTATAAATCACACGAACCTATTATAAACCTTTTAAAAGGTGTTTTTCCATTTTCTTAGACATGGGATAGAGAAATTCTTGGACATGGGATTACTGGGTCAAGGTATATTGTATTAAGACTCAATTGGCTGCAAGTGATACAAACACAAACTGGCTTAAGCAAATTAAAGGAAATTATTGGCTAATGTATTCGAGGAGCAGAGGGAAAGATTTCAGGCAGGGCCTGTTCCAGAGGTTCAGTCTATGTTATCAGGGGTTTGACCTGGATCTCTTATCTTTAATATCTACTTCCTTCTGGTGTTGGGTTTATTCTGAGGCAGTGTCTATCCATTTTAGTCAAAATGACTACCTATAACTCCTGCTTTCATCCTACCATCTCTAAACTCCCTTCTTAGGAAGACATCCCCTTCCCAATATTTTCAGCAAAAAACTTTGGACAGGTTCTCATTGGCTCAAATTGAATCGTGCCATCCTTGAATGATTAACTTTAGGTATGGGACAATAATAGGATGTACTAGCAAAGGGATGTCATCCCACCCAAATCACTCAGCCTGAGGATAGCGCAGGTGCTGTTCCCCAGGGGAGAATGGGGTGCTTTTGCCAGGATGGGGAATGGGCGCTGGGCAGGCCTCAAACAACATGTCTTCATTTTGCCTATGAACTTTTTGAGGATTCTGTGTCTTAGTGAAAAACAAAAAAGCCAGCAGGGACAGAGAGAGGAGCCCAGTTGCATCCTAAGCACGTAGTTTTGGATGTGTTAGTGCAGCCTAATCAGATGGCAGAGGGTTTCCACTCTCGCCATGGAAGAGTTGGGACCAAGTATAGCCTTCGTGAGAGAGCTTCTCTGCACAGCTGCCTGGTCACCCATCCTTTCGTGTACCTTGCTCTTCTGCAGCATAATTATCTGAGGTTGAAAGGACAGGCCTTTGTCTGTGGTCCACTGTCGAATCTAGCACCTTTCTTAAAGGCAACACCAGACTTTGTTGGCCCCGTGGTAGGTTTTCCATTGCACTCAGCCACATGTGTATGGAGCTCCACGGTTGCTACCATGGAATTTCTGCTTCAGGTGGTCATCCTAGCCCAGCACTGCTGTCCCCAGGTGGACCTCATCCTTAGTCCAGAGGAAGTTGAACATGTCGTGATGAAAACCCCACAGTTTGCTCTGTCTCTCCGTGGGAGCAAGGGCCATCTAAACCGGACCGACCCTTTCTGTTGAGTTTGTTCTTATCTCCGAATTAGGATGTGTTGTGGTGGGTTATGGGACAGAGAAAATGAAGTTACTTCAGAAATTTCAAAAAGGCTACCTGAACTCTTCTGTCTGGGTCCTGTGCTAATGACTATTTGCTGTAATTTAGTAGCAAGAGCCCAGGAGTTGGCCACAGAAGGCAGCTGCCAGAGCCAGGGCCACGTGGAGGGCCCTTCAGAGCACTCTCGAGTCCCCATGCAATTTTTGGCATTTCCCCCTCTCCATCTCATCAAGGAAATTAGATGGAACCAATTTATAAGTAAATGATACATCTCTCTGAAGGACTCGAGGTTAATCTGGACCCGTCTTGCTCGCATTTTCCTTGGTGCACAGGGGACAGAACAATATTAATATTCCACCTGTGCTCTAGGTCATCCATCCACCGGGCAGGCTTAACTCACACAGGCAGAATTTTCCAGTATAATCCCTAGAGTGTTTGAAATCATAGACACTGGACTCTGGTGGAATCTGGGAAACCGCACCATTCAGTGGCCGTCTCCTTTGTTCGATTCCAGGTCCCTGAAACAAGGCTTCTCGTGGTTCTCAGTAGAATCTGGTGGGTGTCTACCCCTCTTGAAGTCTGTAGCCCACTGTAGAAATGTCTGGGATTCCCAAATGACTCCGATGAAAACGTTGTGAAGTAATGGTTTACTGCCTGTAAAGTAGGTGGTCTTGCGGGCAAGGGGAGGGGAGCGCTGTTCTAGCCCTGCCCTCTCCGGGGTGCCCAGGCCAGAGAGCGCAGGTGGGCACGGAGTGGGAGTTCCAGCTGCTCTTTGGTCTGTTGTAGATATTGAGCACCATGCAAGGTGTTGGGAGTTAGAAGGTTTCCACTGCTGGCAAAGGAGCAACCCACAAAAAACACATAGCTAAGATATTCTAAAATTGTAGGTTGTAAGGCAAAAAACCCAGATAACCCTCTGTGACTTGTGTCTCTGGAATTCTGTTAGGCTTAGTTACTGAGCACTCACTGCGAGGCAGCTCTGTGTTTTGTAGGGCGTCTCAGTTTCCAGGGCAGCCCTGCCAGGGCCAGCTGCCCCTTTCTGCACATGTCAGGGCGGCCTGTGAGTTGATGATGTTCTTGGGGAAAATCCAGTGTCCCTGGATTTCCGCCGCCACACCTGTGTGGCCTGTGAAGGCTGTAGCCGGTGTCTGTGCACAGCTGGCTCTGTCCCCTCCCTGTCCCAGTAAGAGCAGCAGCAGGGGCACCTGGAGCAGCTCGTGTCAGAAACAGGTGGTGTCAAGGACTTAACCGATTGTATCCGCCTCAAGCGGCCTGAAGACCAGAAAGTGGCTGAGTTTCAGGAAGGACTTGGGAACAGGAAGCCAGGGGTTCTCTACCTCCCCCCACCCGCAGTGCCGTGTGTGCCCCGTGCCTGCCTTTTGCTCCTCAGCCTTTATAGCCAGTGAGGGCTGATGACAGCTCCAGTGTTTATGAGTTTCAGTTCTAACCACAGAAATTGACCAACTAGACCCTTTCAATCTCAATTCCTAAATCACAGAAAATGAACAAAATGGTTCATTTTGGTCCACAGCGGGGCAGGTGACCTCCTTAGAGCTCACAGCACAGCATAGCTGCCCAGGGTCTGTTTCTGGGCCTCGTGGACAGGACAGCAAGTGCGTCCTAGAACAGGGATGTTCTAGGACGTTGTGATGAGCTGAATGGAAGTCCACGCAGGTGTGGACCTCTGTGCTCTCGCCTACGTGATTCGCGCCCCAGTGTGAGACTTGCAGCACCTGGGCGGGGAGCGAGCCGCTTCACAGCCCTGCTGACCCATGGGGTGGGGCTTCGGTCTTTGTCGAGGGAGTACACGTGCTTGTTAAATGTGACTTTCATCTGGAGATGTGCCTTTGTTACATCAGTTATGAATAAATAGTCTTCGAAGCTGCTTTGGGGCAGCATAGGATTGGGCAAAATGCTGCCCAACTGACTTGCCCCAAATTTTTATTCATTTATTTATTTTTATTTTTTGGTTTTCTGATTTTATTTTATTTTTTCCAGCATATTATGGGGTTACAAATGTTAAGGTTTATGTATATTTCCCTTGCTCCCCCCTACCCCAAGTCAGAGCTTCAAGCATGTCCATCCCCCAGTTGGTGCGTATCACACTCATTATGTATGCCCCCAATTTTTAAATATGGATAAAATATGTCTTTCTTTTGCCATATAGAGTTTGTAAAATATGTCTTAGTTATAATCGTGGCATCTACATTTGTAGACATCTATTGTTCAAGATCATTTGTTGTTATTTTTCTAAATAGCTATATTGGTGTCTGCATTAGATTTTAAACTCTGGTGGGCGAAAGATTGTTTTCAACCATGGCAGCAATGGTGTGTGCCTTAGACACCACCCTACTCGTGACCTTATTATGGGAACAGTCAGGGTGGTTACAGTTTCACTTTGAAAAATTTGATGTAGTTCCTGATTCTCTGTCCCAGTTGCTGAATTCTTAAAGTCTCGGAAGTCATTTGATTGACAGCTGCTTAAGCAGTTTTATTCCGAAGTTGGCCCTTGGGTGCTGCGAAACACACTGGAGAGGAAGTTGTTGCAGGTGGAGGTGGGGAAGCTTTTCAGTTCACGCTTCACTTTCTTTAATTCTTAGATTTTTACAAGTACAGTTAATTTTTAGTTTTATTCTCCTGGAATTTTTCCACTGATGTTTAAAAGGCCGTGTCAAATGTATTAATATACTCACAAATGAGAGACGTTTTAAAATATTCTGAATAATATTTTCTTTCTTTTTAGCTGTCTCCGTTATGAGGTACAGCGCCTCTGCTTTTGGGTTTGCAGTAAGTAACCTGAAAATGTACTTTCATGAAGTTTTGCACGTTTTTCCTAAGCCCCCTCAGATGAGAGGGTGCTTTAGCATATGAGAATTTAGCCTAAGAAACAGACCTGCTATGGAAAACTGCTTCTACAACGAAATTGCAATTGAATAGCATTAAACTGCAGCGAGACCGTGTCATCCTCAAGCACAGATGGGGGACCGCATTTCCCACGGTGTGGTCGGGCGGGAGGATGTGTCGGGAGTCTGGGTCCCTCTTCCCCTTCCAGGCTGTGCGCAGGGCTGGCTCGCACTGGAGTGGCATTTGCAGGTGTGGGCAGAGGTGCTGGGAATTAAGGTCGGGCTACTGCGTGCTGGGCTGAATCAGTCAGTGGCCCCCTTAGAGGTGACCTGGCTTTGCAGCCTGCCTCCTGAGGGCAGTCCCTTAGAGAAATCACGCCCGTGCTTCCCAGGCCAGGTGTGTTGAAAAACCGGGCGAGGTTTCCCCACACCCCTTCGAGAGGTCGCTAGTGTTCGTGGCTTTCCAGCCGGGAAGTGGAATGGGGTGATGACTCAGAGCGCCCCTCCACACCCCTCCCGAGGTAGCTTTAGGGTGTCCTGCACCCGAGGGTAGGTGTGCCTGTTCCCGACCCCACTTCTGCCCTTTGTTGTGAGCACTTCTTGATGTTTGCGGGGCACGGGGGATTCTTTCCAGAGTCGTATGAAAGATGTGGACCGTCCAGAAAAAGGCACACTGCCACGCACACCCCCAGACACGCCACGTGTTCACACGCACACATGCACGGGCAGTCCCAGAAACACGCAAGCACATGCGCACATTTTCTCATTCTTTCTCGCTTGCTACTCGAGGCGGTTGCTCTCATGCAAATGAAAGCATTGATTTTGTGTATGATTTCCAAGTGTCGGCAGACTTCCTGCAGCCCCCTGGGTGGCCCCACCCTTATCCCTGGACTCCAGGTAGAACAATGCCATTGAGAGCCAGAAATGCAGAATTCTTACCCCGAGTCTTTTACTTAGGATATGCAGGAAAATGCTGCCATTATCTGGCCTGTCGTGGGGAAACCAGTTCCAGGGGTTTCAGGACAGTGTGTCCCCCCAGCCCTGTCCATAGCTGCAGAGTGCTGGGAGCGGAGCCCACTACACAACAGAGTGCGATTTCTCAGGTCGTGGGAGCAGGGAGCGACACAAGGTGTTAGGAGGGGTGCAGCGTTGCCACCAGGCCGGCCGGTCGGGTGCCCCGGGCTCCACACTCCACTGTGAGGGCTGTCAGCAGCTGTGTCGCTACAGTTGGACGCCTCTTTGCTCTGAGGTCACTCCTTCAGATATTCTGAGTCACAGCACAGTTGCCCTGTGTCTTCACAGTCATGCCCTCTTAACTCTGGAAAACCACTAATGCCGTGTCTTCCTCTCCTAGTTTGATGCCATCCTTGACGTCCTGTCATCGGCGATTGTCCTGTGGCGTTACAGCAACGCGGCCGCTGTGCACTCTGCCCACCGGGAGTACATGTAAGTAGATTCTTATCCTTTCCCAGACTGCAGAACCCTTGCAAACGAAGGTCGCATCGTTAGACCCTGAGCACAGCTCACCTTGCAGCTTGTGTCCCGGTGACGAGAAATAAGGTCCCCAGGATGTCCCTGAGAGCAGCTGGTGTGATGCAAGTCACGTGATAGGCCCCTCCTGGGGTGATCAGAGAGATAGCCTGTACCTGTACAGTTCTCTCTGTTCTCTGCTCTTGAGTCAGGGCAAATATTTGTTTGCTTATCATCCGTCCGTCCGTACATCCATCCATCCATCTTTCCTCTCTCTTTTTGCTATTGGAGCCCATGTTCTCTTGGATTTTTGTGGTGTTTTTCCTTCCTTCTGAGTGAGATGAGTTCCCCACTGTCATTCACAGGGACATCTCACGGGCACTCTGAGTCACTCTGCTCGCCTTCCATCCCTCTGTGTGCTAGAGGGTGTTGCTCGCCCCAGCTTCCACATCCCGTGGGTGGAGATTTTGACTTTAAGGGACTTATGTTTGCCACCATAAAACATACATCTTTTCCAACTTCCACCTCAGATTTCTCCTAGGCTTTGAATATCACTGCTTACTAGCTCTGTGACAGGGGGAAGCTAACTGCTCTAGGCCTCAGTTCCACATCTAGAAAAGCAAGAAGCCAACCAATCGTAGGATTATTGTGATGAATAGATATATACATATACATATATTAACTCATCTGTGTGTCTGTGTGTGTATATATACATGTGTATACAGACATATATATATATATATATATACACACACATACACACACACACACGTGTGTATGTGTGTATATCAGGGCAAGAGTTTTACCCTGACTCTGCAGCTTTTGGACAGTTGAGCACAAATGAGTAAATTCTCCCTTGCTGTGGTTTGTGTTGGTGTCCAGAAACAATAGAAGATGCTCTTTTTTGGGGGCAGGGGTTGGTGAGCGGGAAGCCAAGGTGGAAGTTGGGAACATAGAAAATGCTCTTGTATGGGATGTTAAGCCATACTGAAACATGCAAATGTTGAGATATCTTTTTGGGGCCAAGGGATACAGAAAATGTATCTGAGTTTGAATCTGCCAAATGGAAACCTTTTGAAAGTTGATGCCATAACTTATTCACTAATGGGAGCAAATTTTATATCACTTCATTATTGGCTTTAGTTAGTACACAGAAAGACTGGTTTTAAATGTTAAATATTTATTTTAATGTGCATTAACTCTTTTAACAAAGTATCAAACTTGGGATATCACAGATGATATCATTTAGGAGAAAGTTAATTTTTAAAAGCGACTTAATTTGTGGTTGAAAAAATTAAGAAAACAATAGCAGTAAACAGATTTTTTTAAAAAAATTTCAACCCGATGTTACAGGTTGAGCATCATTAATCTGAAAATCTGAAATCCAAAATGCTCCAAAATTCAAAACTTTTTGATTACCAACATGATGCCATAGTAGAAAATTCCACATATGTATGTGCAGATATTCTAAAATCCCCCAAAATCTGAAATCTGAAAGACTTCTGGTCCCAAGCATTTTGGATAGAAGATAGTCAACCTATCCCATGGTGATTGAAGTTGAGTTAACACTGGTCTAGCTGAAGGAGCAGCTAATGCATCCAACCAAGCTGTTCAAAGTATTTGAGGAATTCAATGAGAACAGTCCAGAGAGTGTCATGTAGAGAAATGCTCGGATTTTAAGAGCCAGCCACTGTCTTGCCAGAAGAACATGGAATCGTTGGTTCTATAGTTGCACTGTCAATATGATTGCTACTAGTACAATATTTTAGCACTTGTATGCAGCTTGTCTGACTGGGATGTGTTATAAGTATACACACCAGAGTCCAAAGACTTAGTAAGAATAAAAGTAAACAGTTTATTGATCATTTTTAAGATATTGATTAATGTTGATATCAGAATATTTTGGAAATACTGGGTTAAATTATTACAATTAAGTTTTTAAATTTATGTTTGCTTTTTCAATGTGGCATCTAGAAATGCAAAATTACATTTGTGGCTTGCATTCTGTTTTTCTTGGGCATTGCCCTGCAAAGAGAAAGCTCTTCCTCTGCATTTTCTTTCTTGTTTTAGAGTTAATAATACAAAATTTGATTTGCAATTCCAGAAGGAATTGAGTTCAGAGTTTTCCAATTTCTTTCTTCTAATTTGCTTTTTTTAAAATCTGATTTCCTTTCTACTGAAATGCTTTTCATACGTATTAGTCACAAAGCCACAAATTATTGTGGCTTCTCTTTAATGTTTGGATCTGTGTGAAAATTTGCCAGGTGGCCTGGAGGTTTTCCAAGATAAAAATTGATGACAAGAAATGTCTTTGGCTTCCTTGTTTTTAATGATCCCGAAACAGGTACTGTTTTTTAAAAAGCATATATTATTATGCAAAAGTCAGAAACTCACAGAGGACTTGCTTTGGTAATTCCCAGGTAATTGTTCATGTGATGATGTCAATGAATTCACTTGGAGATTCCTAATCTAGGGATTAAAATGATACAATCCTCTATATTGTTGGCTTTGGTTTGAAGTTTTAATCTCTGGCTTACCCCATGTGAATTTCAAATTGATAAAATCACTGCCAGCTGAGAAGCTGATGTTTGCATATTAATGAACATAAATAAGTTATGAGGGCATAGCCAGAAAGGCTATTGGCTTTCAGTTAGTTGCTGGAGAATAACATTAGAAGGAATTTGGAAATATCCAACTGGCCCTTAGTTAACTCTTTTTATTATTTTGAATTGGACCCAAAGGCTCAGAATGCATCTTGAGCTTGGAATTGCCAATGCCAAGAGAATTGAAACCTTCCTCAGCCACCTGAGTGTGTCCTCACTGTGGATTTGATGGAGTGTGATGCTCAGAGAAGAAAGGAGTATGGCTTCAGCACCACTGCAGAGTGTAGTCCCAGTAGTTATTTTTTTGCATTTTTTATTTTGATAAAAAATACATAAAATTTATTAGCTAAGTGTACAGTTCAGTAGTGTTAAGTATGTTTACATTGTTGTGAAACAGATCTCCAGAAGTTTTTCATCTTGCAAAAGTGAAACTCTGTACACATTGAACAACTTCCCATCTTCTCTTCCCTACCCAGACCCTGGTAGCTACTATTCTACCTTCTGTTTCTATGAATTTGACAACTTCACATACCTCACATAGATGGAATCATACAGTATTCATCTTTTTTTGTGACTGGCTTATTTTACTTAGCATAGTGTCTTCAAGGTTCATTCATCTTGTAGCATGTAGCACAATTTCCTCCTTTTTAAAGGCTGAATAATATTCCATTGTATATATGCGCCACATGTCATTTATTCATTCAGCCACCAGTGAACATTTAGGTTGATTTTTTCCTCTTAACTGTTGTGAAAAATGATACTATGAGCACGGATATGCTTCTGCTTCCAATTCTTTTGGGTATATACTCAGAAGTGGGATTGCTGGGTCATATGGCATTTCTTCTTTAAATCTTTTAAGGAACCTCTATACTGTTTTCCATAGTAGTTGCACCATTTTATAATCCTACCAACTAGTTATTTTTTTAAAAAACTCAAAATTTGATTAGTCACTTTTCTGTGGTGGGGAATAGAGGTATGGAGAAGGTAGACCATCATCAGGTTTACTCACAGATAGGATTTTCAACAGGTAAGTTTTTTTTTTTTTTTTTTTTTTTTTATGATAGAAGGAGGGACAGGGAGTCAAGTATGTTTGCAGTCAAGGGATTCTAAGAATAGACCAGAATATGTGAGCTGGGCACGGCGGGATGGAAGGAGAGTGGCAAGATTAATGAACAGCCACCGTGGACTACAGGTTTTGATGAGTTCAGCAATTGTTGGTGTAGGGTGCTAATCTGAGACTAGGCTTCCAAACACTGAGAATCCTTAGGTGTTTCAGTTATTGCTATAGACTTAGGCTGGGAGAGGGCGGCTGAGCTAGAGTGGGAGGAAAGGTCAAGGCCATGTGTGAGGCGAGGCCAGGGATTGGCTGGATGCTGAAGAAGTGGTTTGCAGCTGCCACCATGAAGATGAGGCTCTGAGATGAGGGAGAGAGCTGCCTCTCCTTCAGAGGTGAGGAGACAAGCTTCCCTGGGGCACAGCTATGTGTGTGTTAGGGCATGAAGGTGGCAGGAGCAGTCAGGAAGGAGTTTGAGGCTGTCGGAGAGCAGAGAGAGAGGTAGAAGGGAGCAGGGCCACACAGGGTGTGACAGGAGAGTGTGGGGGTGGTGACGTTGGCCCTGGTGGCAGTGGATTGCCATGCAGCCACTCAGAAGAATGAAGTACTATTTGCACGCTTACATTGTGACCCCCAAGTTTCATTAAATGAAGCAAGCATGGCACGATTCAGTGTGTATGGTCTTTTTTCATTTAACAGAGGAGTTTAACATCTACATGCTTTGTTTAGGTATATAAAGGGGCTCTGCAGGGGTACAATGGAGCCTGGCATCAGAGTCCCCTCCCCTCTAGGAAGGGACTGGGGACAGAGGGAGGAGGGAAGACATTTTCTTCACATCCTTTGGAGCAGAGCTGTCCAATAGACACTGCGATGATGGACATGTCCTGTATCTGCTGTGCACTGTGACAGCCTCTAGCCACATGTGGCCACTGAGTGCCTGGCATGTGGCCAGAGCCACTGAGGAACTGGATGTTTAACTTTATTTAATTTTAAAGAATTTAAATAGTCCCATACAGCTACTATATCGGAGAATGCCTCTTTAGTTTGATAATTTTTAGCCTCTTTTTTAAGAAAAACAAAGTTGTTAATAAATCCAAGTCTGGGGCATTTGGAAGGGAGAGAGAGCTATCGAGGAAGGAAGGCAGTGCTGGAGGAGGAGGAGGGCGTGGGGAGACATTAGCACGGGAGGAACTTGGCAGGGCTGAGTGACACTAGGATTTTCATGCCTGTCTTAACTATTCTCGGCCCCGGGTACCATGTAAGGCCACAGGAAGGACAGACTCCTGCTGCCGTCAGCTGCGAGGGCCATCGGGTGCTTG